GATAAAGAAAAGAGAAATTCGAAAATTGACTAATTTTTTGTTATGTATATCTATGTATTTATAAAAGATATGTTGTTAAGTTTGTGCCCTTTTTTATGAAACAAAAACTGAAAAACAGAAAACTTCTTAAAAAAAACAAAAAAACAAAAAAAATAAAAATTAAAAACAAAAAATAAAAAACAAAAAAAATAAATAAAAATATAAATAAAAAAACAACTTCAACAACTACCAAAATTTTATATGTATCTAAGATATTTTTACTAACAACAAAATATTCTTTTTTAAATCGTAATTATAATATTTAAACAAAATAATTTCATTTATAACTCTTTACAAAAGCAAAAATTTAAAAGGAAATCTAAACAAACACAAAAGACATAGATATATTCACAGACATACACACATACATACACACACACAAACACACACACCACCTCAAAAAAAACTATATATATATGTATATATACATGTATATATATATATATGTTAACAATTTATAATTTATGCCGAAAATTTTATTTGAAAATCATTAAAACGAGTAAAAAACCTATGCACAATGAACAACAAATTAGGAAAACAAAAGCAACAAAACAATAACTATTATCAGTCAGTCAGTTAGTTTTCTTGTAATGTAATATAAATCAGCTCATGATTTGTTTTTTGCCTCACCATCAGGCAATATTTTAAATCGTAATTTTTATTTATCACTGATCAGTGCTACGCTTTTTAAACATACTTATTATTATTATTTTATATTTTGTATTTTATTTTTATATATTATTACTATTATTTTTATTATTATTACTATCATTTTTTGCTTGTGTTTCTATTGTTTTAATTTTTTTTTCGGGACAAATTATTACCAAACGGAATACAACAGCAAGTGCTTGCCTATTTACACCCATATACACGGTCATGTATACATTCATTCATGTATAAATTTAAATAACACATACTCGTAAATAATAAATTTAATGAAATTGTAAAAATACAAATAATTTATTATTAAAGCGAAATTTTTCACACTTTAGCTTAATAAATTGTAAAAAAAAACAAGACAAAACAAGGAAAACAAAAAAAAAAAGCAAAAAAAAAAGTGAAACAAAAACTGATAAATCTAAAAATAAACATTTAATTGAATTTGTTATGCAAATGGAAAATCCGCTCAAAGACAGTTTTACTCATTAATGTCACTTCGAGATAAGTAAGTAAAACCCTCGCGTCGTATAAAAGTATTATATTCAGTCGTCGCCGAATCCTTCGTCCACATTAGCGTTGCTCGAAGAAAGACTTGAAAGGGAAAAATCTAAATTTAGCTTGGTTTTTTACAGGTATTTCAATTACAATTGTTTGCGGTGGGATGCTTGTTCCTACTCTAGATAATAAAATACCAATCGAATGCATCGATATACGCAGGGGCATCGTTTCCGTCATGAATGCGGAGTTCCGTCAACAGATGTCGAGCATCAAAATCGATTGGCTATGTTTGCGGGACTAGAAATTGAGAATATTCAACTTTGTGAATATTTCTTCCGCAAATCCTGGGACTAAGACGTCGCAAGAGACTAGGAAGTTGCACTGCCCACCGATTTTCAGTTATAACGTTAACATGAAAACAATCATAGAGCTACTTTCGGCCAAAACGGCAAATGTGACATTCAAAGTCCAAAAAATGAACGCAAAGAAAAGTGAACTCTACTTTATAGATCCCGTGGCCCAGCAATGCTACAGACACTACGCGAGCAAACGATGCAGGCTTACTCTTCTACTCTTTTCTCTCATACCAAGACGACTGTGCAATGGCATATTAATACCGATAAAGTGATAAAGACCGTGTAGTTGTTGCAAAATTCATCACACCTTTCTCCACATAAAAACAATCTCGACACAGGGCTCTTGCTGGAGAAGCTCTAGCAAGGCAAATCTCTCATTAACGTCGCAAAGGTAAAACACTTATTAAGTCAAAAAATTATTTGGGAAAACCCAAAAAAAACCGCAGAAACGGTCTGACAAAAGAGAATGATCGCACAGAACGCATAAAGATCTAAACCGTCTATAATAGTGTAACTTTCCTAAAATTAGTGTAACTTTTCTTAGAACCAGAAGAACCGTCACTCGAGCAAGAGATAAGCATATTTCTTGCTGGATTCCAAAGCATGCCAAAATATGAGGCTGAAGACGAACTCTGCTGCCTCTTAAATAAGGTTTGAAAAACATAGATAGATCCGCAAATTTCTTTACTTTCAATATTCGATCTCCTATCGGTTCCTCTTCGCAGATAGATATGGCTAACTCCCTGCATCATAATAAAATTGACATTGTCTTCATACAACACCAACTCAAAAAAAATCAAAAACTCAATATGGCAGCGTATGGCTTTATTTACGACTACTCTCATGTCGGAGTAGTAATAGTAATAAAAAACACACTTCAATAAAATGAATTGCTGTTAATAGTACTAGTTTCAACAGCATCTTCGTGCACATGAATTACAAATCTGACAACATTTACAAAAAGTATATAGCCGGTTCCTTATACATTTCCAGCAATTCGGTCTCAACAAAAGTGTACGGATCTATCTTACACGGAGATTAGAGGGACAAGGGTACAGGTTCCGAAGACATGGCTGATAATCTCAATGGAAAAAGCCTACATAATTGACTCACCGATAATCCTCTAGAACTCGCTCAAATTACTAATGTCAAATCTTCATATCCAAACAGCGCCTAGTCTTCCTACGTCCTCAGATTATTTCCCGCTGAAATTTGTTCTGCGCATTGATCCATCCCGATCTGATCCCCAGGAGTCCGCGCATACTTACATCATATAAAAACACGAATTGGATTGGATTTTCGTAACCACATGTAACCAGCTCGCTTTCGCATAATACCCCGTGCAAGCAAAAAGCTTGTAAGCATCCAAACAGATCATTTCACTTGTGTGTTCAACACCACCTTCAAGTCAATCCATGATTGCCACTCGGATAGGATCGAAATTAGCGACCAGAAATTCCCATTATCTGACATGATCACAAAATTTTCTAACATTAAACATCAATGGCAAAAGGAGCTAACGAGCTTTTGGTAAGCATACCAGACGTTCAGATATTCAATGACAAGCTTAAAAACATCAAACCTGGACCAACAGCATTGAAACAAATGTATTAAATCGCGGGGAAGAAACGGCTCCAATCTGCCAAAAAATCCACTACAACCGGATCCCCACATACCGCAACCGTCCAGTAAGCAAAAAGTTGAAAATCGTTGAGCAAAAGATATTGAATATTACCAAAATTCGACAAAGCAGTTTCCCAGCGAATACATCTACAGAACATCGAAAGTCATGCTATTATACAGATTTTTTTTGCCTTACCCGCAGTATCCTTACCAATACAGCAAGTAAAGCAATGATAAAAACGTCTTATACAGCTTAAAATGCTCAGCACATCCCTGAACTTAACCTTAAAGCCTTTGAAGTCCATCCCCGCCTTTTCTAAAAGTAAATTTAAGCGATCTATAATGCTTCGCATGCTTAATGACGGGAATGCAAAGATATCTCGTGAATAATTTGTGGATTAACTTTACACTAACTCTATCTTGACCTTAGAGGATGGTCGTTTTAAAAAATGAACGAAATATTTTGGCGAAATATTTCGGATAATATCTAAGCGTGTACAGGCGGCATGCTAAATAAAATTGCAACAATGAACTTCGGGAATAATATACACTTGGGTCTAGAAACAATAGTTTCTCTTAAGCAAACTATTTTTGCAAATTCTAAATACTCCTTCGTTTTCTATTAAAATCGGCCGGACAAGATCTTTACAAGAGCCATAGAGGACGAATGAAGCGATCTTATCGATGTTGTAAGTAAAGACATTAAGCTTTAAATACTTCAATTGTATTCCAAGTAGAACAAAGTTTTGTAAATAATTACAAGCACACGTATCAAGGTTTTGAGACCGTCTCCTAGCAAAAAGGATAAGGCAACAAGTACTAAGATATTTTATGTATCTTGGCGCTAAGACGAATGGTTCTTAAATCAATTTGATCCCTTCTGCATTGCAACGCTGAAAAGCATATTCTTTTATAAATAAGCTTACCTTTTCTCACTGTAATCTAAAGGAATAACCATTCACCATAGATCAGTGAAGGAGCCAACGTTTCTCCAATCAATATGGTATTCAGTCGGTCAATGAATCGAATTAGTTTTTTTTTTTTGACCTAATAGTTACAAGAATGAAGGCCATGTGACCAATCGATTTCAGTTAGACTGAAGGAGACTTGCTTAGAATTTCGCATTAAAGGAGAGGAAACCATCGCTTATTAGCTTGCAACCATACGCTGGGATAGATTTAAGTATTCAATTGCGGATTAGCGATCATTAATATATGACTGCCTTGAGAAAGTTTTAATGTGATGGAAATGAAAAACGCCGTTAAGGATCTATCAAAAATGTTAAGTAAAAAATTTGTTAGCGACCTGAGATCAGGAGTTCTACAAAGGTCGTACAAATTACATTCACGACCCTTTCGTTATAATAAAACAAAATTATTCAACATTCTATTTAAAAAAATATATTGCGACTTCCACTTCCTGCTCTAGCTCTTTTATGCTCTTACGCGTATTATTCTCTATGGTACTTAAGCATATCCCTACTCACTCAATTTCAAAAGTCTTTCATTCATAATAATAAACGGTATGCACAACTCCACGAATCTCCTATTAATACGAAAAAAAAAAAAAAAATGTTTTTTTAAACATATTTTGTTAACGTGAACGATGTGTTGTCCATTGTGCTGTGCTTCGTTCCCAAACTGTGAGTTATTCTGGGATAATAGAAGATCTATACTACAGATCTTCTTAAGATTTCGTGTTATTTTTATGGAAATAAATATTTTTGGAATGAAACTCGTATTAATGTAATAACGTATACAAAGTATATATATTTATGGTTGTTTAATTTGAAATAAAAAGAATTTATCTTAAAAGTATAAAAATGAAGAAAAGCGAATTATGATGCTAAAGAATGTTTATTTATCTCTTTGACTTATTTGAGCCATTGTAATATATTGCCGCACCAAACGTGATATTTCATGGGCTTGCTCAGTTTGTACCCGGATTACACGCTGTTGCATTAGGTTGCCTACTTTCATATCCAAAAAGAGGGCACCATTCTCAGAGCGCACCTACAATTTGCAACGCAATTGTGATTGAAAAAAGTTGAAAAGAGATTATGAGTAAAAATTGGCGAAAAGAAGAAAAATAATTGAAAGAAATGCGAACCTTGCGTGTGGAAATAACTTCCATAAATGGCCAGTGCTGTAAAGTTTCATGAGTATTGGGATCCAAGAATAAAACGCCGCGCCTATTCAAAGCCAGTATCAAATCTCTCCAGATATGATTTTCGTCTATATGGGGAGCCTCTTCCGCCCATATTCGTTTTACAGCGAAAAAACTGCTACCGAATAATGGCCATGCCGACAGTACATTCAGAAATTGAGCTTTAACTTGCCCAGGACTTAAATTTACAATCTGCGGCCAAACGGATTGAACCAAACCCACCCATTGGGCGGGTCGTATTTCCCGTACACCCAAAGCTGGTTTTGGTAAGAGGAATTTTATTTCTTTCATGGCGGGCACATGACTTAAGTCAGCGGCTCTATGTAGTAGAGCAGCGATACGAGCCATATCTCGTACTACCTCAGGCATAGGGACACCATTGCTTGGCAGCTCCAAAAGTAAACCTTCCAAATAATCAGGAGCCACCTGATTGAATAATACCTCTACATAGAGAGGCGTAGGTGCGGGATCACGTTTCAGTGAAAAATGCCAAACTGAACGGCAGAATATTAAATAGAATGGTTGACCCGATTTCAACAATTCGGTAGTCACATCCAAAATGTATTCGTCAGCTGCCAAAGGCATAGTGAATGCATCGCCTTGCACAATGCAATATAAGGAGAATTCTTGTTGCTCAACCTCCGATTCGATACCTAAAAGGGCGCAAAGCTCTGATATAACATCAGCTACTACTGTCGAGCACCGTGTATTAACTACGCGTTCTGCCCCGCCTGGTAAACGATATATCTGTCGTCTGGCTGAACGGCCAGCGGACACAGCGGTCACTTCCTCCACGCTGGGGACATTTTTACGACCGCCGCATCTGGCTGTTTTTCGCAAATTTGTCAAACATACCGCAGCGGTACCATGACAAGAACGTCTACGATCGGAGGCCGCTGAGGTTAGATGTTCAACTAAATAGGGACGTAAAGCATCCGAACAACCAAAATAGGCCGCCAAAATACTTAATAAACGCCAACCCCTTTGAGCAGAATCCGGGCAAGAAGAACGATTTGCAGTAGTTTGTTTCATCAACTGGCAATAGACCTCATCGCGCAATGCCAAATATTTGTGACAGTGCTGGACAGTAAAAATATAAAAGTTCTTAATTAACTGGTAGAGAAAAAAAAGGCAATAATATCTACCATGAGAACCGTATAAACGCATTTGACTTCACTTAATTCAGGTTCCATGGGTATATCACTGCAATAACGTAAAATGCAATCAAAGCATTCTAATGCGAGAGGAGCCAAATCATTTGGCAAACGCAAGAGCGGTGCATGTATCGGACTATCTTGCCATTTCACCAAATCCGCGTAATGGCGATTACTAGACCGTTCATTGGATTCGCGACTAGAATAGAAGAAAATTAATTAGCGATTATTAATTTATTCTTATGTATGCATATATCTATTAAAAACAAAAAATTTCTTATTTACTCGTTTCGAAAATGTTGCATTGCGAACTGCAATAGCGAATAACGTGTCACCGATGGCGATGTGGTGCCACCGCTACCGTTACCACCACCGCTACCTCCTCCATCACCGCTGCCATGATCATCGCCGATGCTTTGATTTAAATTTGCTGCAGAATTAGAATTTGGATTGTCTCGTAGATGTCCGGCCGCAGCATGTTGTTGCTGTTGATTGCTTAGTACCTTACGTCCCGTATGTAAATAACTCATTTGCTTTGGATATTGATGTTGCTGCTGCAGTTGTTGTTTTTGTTGCTGCTGCTGTGATTGCTGTTGTTGTTGTTGATCAGTAAAAAGTAAGCCTTGTTCTTGCGATGACGACTCCAAACGATTAACAATTATATGATCGTCGTCATCGTTACTCGAATGGCCATTAAAATGATTATGATGTAAATGATGATCCATGCTGTCACTAAGTAAATTCCTCGAATGATGATCACGATCACGGTATTGTTGTTGAAAATGATGTTGCTGCTGTTCTTCAAAAGCGATATTTGCCATCAGAGGTGAAGCGTTGCGCAAAGTATGACTGCTAGTGTTATTATTGGGCTCACGATGATTCGATTGCCGCGACTCAAGACGTTCAATGGGCACATTGAGTGTCTGTGCGGCGGCTCGAACACCCGATGATAGTGTAGTTGTTGGTTTGATTTGAGTCTGCAAAAAAGTGAACGCAAAAAATATTATTATCACAAGGCGTATAATAATTAATTACAATGACTTTTAAATTTTATATGTATTTATAATAAATACAAATGCAGCTTCGTAGTCAATCTACAGAACTGCGTAACGCCCTCAATTTTCGAAATTCTTCAATTAATAATGCTCAACTTTGCACCATAACTCGTTAAAGTGCTTCTTTTTTTTTTTTTTTTTCTTTCTTTCTTTCTTACGTATAACAAATCACGGTTGTGAAAGTTATCGAAAGGCATAACACACGATCATAAACATACACACATACATAGTTGCTCAAGAGCTTATATGCACACGTACATAGGGTAAACACTTAAAATATATACCAAACATGTTACAATTTATTGTTTTACATTCGGCTTAAAACCCAACATTTACCACAAAATTTTTGTGAATGTCAGAAGTCTGCAAAAAACGCAAAAAAGTCAAAATGAAGCGATAAAGCGGTTTTTTAAAACTGCTTTTGTGGGTATTGTTAAACAGCAACAACACTATCATAGCAATTGCTATGAAAATTTGAATGGATACCCGTCAAATTCAGTTTGGCTTAGAGCTTCAACCGCAGTGCAGAGAAAAACGAAAGTCTCGTTAGAGAGCCAAAGGTATTGATCACCTTACGACGATAAGAATATCTGTCAGCCGGTCAGACGCGCAGACATTGATTTTTATGGGAAAACGCAGAATCGATTTTCATGAAAGCTACATTTCTTTTCGACAAGGAAAAGAAAAGGAAAAATTTATCTACCGGAATAATCTTCCTTAACTTTTTATACAAACATAATAGGTTGAGGAACAACTTCAAGACGTTCCTTCATCAAAATTCAAGTAAATTTTTCTTCCAGTTTAAAGAAAATTTGTCCAAACAACACACATCGTTGGCGCACTATTGATTTTGATAAAACGTCTTCACTATGAACGCCACTAATTTTTGCCCAAGTCTCCGTAGCTTTATCGCGTTCATCCAAGTACATCGCATATTGCAAAATATGCGAATTTTTTCAGAATTGGACTCGTTTTCAAAACACAATTACTTTCGGCTGAATTAAAAAATATCACGGAGTTTTTTGTATGTCAATAAGCTTGTTTGCATAGGATGAGCATTGTCAAAGTTACGCGACTTAAAACCAATCTAGTGCGAAAAACGCCCCCCACGAATTTCTCCCTCATCTATTTTGCCTTTCAGTTTACTTATACACAAGCATAAGGTTAGTTTTTTACTTCCATTACTTTTTCAAATGTTTAATGGATAAAAGAAAAATGGACATAAAACTCAAACATACTTTAATAGGCAAAGATCGTAAGTATTATACACAATTCATACATCTCAGGCTAAGTGAACGATAAAAAAATAATAAAGAAAGAATTGCTATTAAACTTTCCGCTTACATACATTTAAATAGTTCGCAATGACTACATAAGCAAAAAAGTAATTAAAAAAAAAATAATAATAGTACGCTTTTATGATCGTTAAAGTTCATCTTCTATATATCCGTTTGCGAGTCCGTTCGACCATTCACTTGTGTATACATCGCGCGAACATACACGCTCTCATGCTTACGCTTATACACAAAATAAATGGCATGACCGTTGGATGGTGCGTGCTAAATACTTTCTTTTGATATAAATGCTTTTTTACTTTGCTTTGTTTAGGCAGGCAAAACAAAACGAAAAATACGAAATAATAATAATAATAATAATAATAGCAGAGTAATAATAATATTATAATAAGATAATAATAATAATAATAATAATAATAACAGTAATAATAAGAATAATGTTGATAATGATACGATTCTTGATAATAAAATAACGATAATTCGTGGAAAGGGAGGCAGCGATGAGATCCAAAGTTGCCAAAAAGTACATTTTTTTCTCAGCTAACATCCATAATAAATAAATTAAAATTTTGATTTTTTTCCCATACCTACTGTGCGTGGAAACCCTTATATGGGTGAATTTCAAAAAATGGACTTTACACGGTTCGAATTGTAACTATGAATCAATTTCTATCGTGAAACATGAAAAATTGGGAAATTTTTGTCATGTAAAGGCTTACTTTACGCAGAAAAGGTTATATGGGGGGAGTTTCTTGATTTAAATTGATCCACCTATTACTTAATGATTTTTGCTGAGATATTTTGAAACCAGTGAACGTTTCTCATACAATCACATTCTCAAAATAAAGCGTTAAATCGGGAGTGATCGGGAATATGTTTCTATCCAATTCGTTTTCTGGCCGACGAATATTGACTATCAAATTTTATCAAAGTACTGTGAAAATTACAATCTGTGGGCAGGGTGTAATTATGTTTGGATAGGCGTCGATTCAGAAATGATTCAATGCGAATTTTCAGGTTATAACAGCCGGGTGCGCATAACCAAAATTAACGCATTTGCATTTGATTGTTTGAAAACGAACACGACAATGAAACGAACACAATTGCAAATCTGTATAAAACTGTACAGCATGCCACCAACATATGTTTCCGGTAGTAGAATGAAAACATTGCACGGACGTATAGGTGTGTGGATGTGTATTAGCGCTATGCATACCCATGGTAAGGAAATATATATATTAATATATATATTCTTGTTTGTCATCAATGCAATTGATAATCTGCTTTCTAAACATAAGATCATACATCGTAATTTAAAGTAAATTGAGTAATCAAGTAAGTATAAAGATTGAATAATCGGCGAAAGCATAAATATTAGAAAGCCGTTAATGTGAGTTGATATAAATGATAAACAATTCCTATTTGCTGGCGTCATATGGTTTTTCTTCTTCTTTTCGAGCACAAGCATAAACACAAGCCTAAGCAAACGCGCACACATACACACACACACACACACAGGGCTAAGCTCAGGCTACTGTGGGGGTCACAGGTGGCGGATTGTGATCGGCCTGCGTGTAGCCAAGGGTATATCTGCAGGTTAGCTGCGAATAGCCAATAAGCAGTCCCCGACCAAGAGCGGCAGAGGAGGAGGGGCGGCTGAAAAGGCCGCATAATCCTGCGAATCTTCGGTGGCAGGACGAGTAAGCACCGTCCTTGGAATAGGTGCTCCCCACTCTTAGTATGGGGGTGGCATCGAGGGAGACAACTGTACGAAGCCTAGGGATAGGCATCAAGACCGAGCCCGGTAAGGTCTTGATTACGGTATACCGGAACACGTATTTAAATCGACGATTTTGAGCTGGTGGTGGCAGTATTCCGTTACTTGAGTAGGTTGGAGTGACATTCAGCCGAAATGTCGTTCGGGCTAATGCTGACACCGCCCCCGCCCCGTTAAAATTATGGCAAGTCTGGGAAGTACGTTCTAGGCCGCACCGTTAAGTTGATGGGTGTAGGCCCAGTTGAGAAGAACTCCTGGTTAATGCTGGACCTGGCACTGAATGCTAGTCTCATAAGGGCTAGCGTCAACCCACTGCATGGCCTCACTGCTTGCAAAGATAACCATGGGGTCCTAACAGCAACTACACCAGCGGAACCGGATAGCGGCTTCCCAGTTGGGGTCCATATAAAAGAAAAATGAATACAAATAAAAATAAAGTAGCAACACCGATGTCTGCCGGTTCGACAAAAAAAGCAGACAGGGGGGTTCACGCCAGTGACCTGAGCAATGAGAACCCGTTTAGGGCGAGTAGCAGAATGCTACGATCGCCGGTTGGTGGCGGAGCACAGCCACAGTCGCCTGCCGAGCTAAGGAGAGTGCCTACGACAGATACGGGGGACACGGCGCCCTTTGTAAGGCTGGGCCACCACATAGAGGCACTGGTAGAAATGTTGGAGGATGGCAAAAGACGGTCCATTCACCAAGCCATGAGGGATGCCATTGAGGGCATCAGAATGGCGTACGAGCAGTGCGCGCTGCTAAGGGACCAGACGAGGGCCGATCGGAGTGGCAAGGTCGACAAGGTCGATAAAGCTGCTCAAACAAAACGGGGAGAAAACGGAAGAGCTGAAGAATGCAGTGAGCTCCCTACTAGGTGACCAGGCGGCAGTTAGAAGCCTGACGCAACGCGGCACAGTCGAAGGCAGGGATGTCGACGAAATCATCTCAAGGGAGGACATCTGCGAGGCCATAAAGAGCCAATATGGGCTGGCAAACGCAGAGGTAGTTAGCCTGAGAAAGGCCTACGGTGGCACGCAAACGGCAATAATCAGCCTGTCGCAAGAGGTAGCCAACAAGCTGCTAGCTGGTGGTAAATTAAGAGTAGGCTGGGTGGTGTGCCGACTAAGGGAGCACAGAGCACTGGTGAAGTGTTATCGCTGCTTGGAATTTGGACACATTGCCAAGCATTGTAAAGGGATATGCGATCGATCAAAGGTTTGCCGACGATGCGGAAAGGAGGGGCACATCGCAAAAGTGTGCTCAAAAGATCCCCTGTGCTTTTCTTGTAAAGGCGTACCAAGTGCTGACGCTAAACACGTAGCAGGGAGCAGTTATTCAAACGAGCTTTACCTGCTAGAGGACGCAGATGAGAATTATGCAAATTAATCTCAATCACGGCGAGGCAGCTTATGATCTGCTCAGACAGACGGTCATAGAGGAGAAGATAGACCTGGTGTTGATCAGCGAGCCATTCAGAAGCAAGAACCGTGGCGGATGGGTTGCCGATGCAGCAGGGAAAGCAGCAATCTGGTCACCGGATTTTGCACTCCTGAATGAAAGCGTCCAGCACAATGGCTTCGCGAGGGCGAGAGTTCGGGACATACATTGCTATATCTGCTATGCACCCCCAAGCTGGACGCAGGAAGAGTTCCTGTACATGCTAGATGATCTAGTGGCGGATGCCCGCAACAAATCACTGGTCATAATCGCGGGGGACTTAAACGCCTGGGCGGTGGAATGGGGCAGTAGAATCACCAATGCTAGAGGCCGTGCCCTATTGGAAGCATTTGCAATGCTACCACTGGCGCTGATGAATGACGGACAAAAACACATGTTCAGAAAAGCAGACT